CGAAGTAGGTCAGAGGCGAATAGTAACCATTCGCACTGAGTAATGTGTGTATTAGCAACCTGTTGTTCAAAAGCCTTCATACGACGTACCGTTCCCGCATGAACAGAATCCTCTCATTCGCGAACAGACTCAAGCTCGACAAGCAAGAGAAGCCGAAGAGCGCGAGAGTGAAGAAGAAAAATCCAAGTCGGTTTTGGAAGCCTGCAATGTCGTTCCTGAAGTAGAGTCAGTAACCATCCAGCCACGCGAACAGAAAACATCGCTTACGAGAGATTGTGGAAGAAGAATCCACCCATGACTACAAAAACATCAGTGGTTACCGTCGATTCGTCAAAAGCCACACTTACGTGCGACCAGAACAGCGGCAATGTAGTGGGCAGCAAGGAGAGCAGGGTCTCGGTACAAGTTCTTGAATGCCCTCCCGCTCAGGATGCGGAACTGCGTGCCCCAACTTGCCCGCTTACGTCCCCTGGTAATCATCGTCTCGAACGCCGCATCAGGCAATTGGCTCGAGCCACTCTGAGGCGCATTCGTGTTCGCCGATACCTCAGCAATCTCTTCCTTCAGCGATGCCGCGATGTCGCTATTTGCAAACGCATCCACCAATGCCTGCAAACGAGGGGCCAACGGTCCTTCGCCGGGCAACGAGTTGGGCGTGATCGCTTGCAATAGCTGCGACGTCTTCTTTCGCACGTAGCCGGAGGCTGAACCTGCGACGGAGCTCGCGCGGGGCTGCAGCTCTGTCTCTTCCGTTGAACTTGATGTCTTGGAATGTCCCGAGGAGGAGCCACCGTTGAACCCCCTTTCTTCGTCATTGACGTTGGTTGCCTCCGAAGTGGACAGCTCTGTCGGTGGACTTTCCAAGGAGCGAGGCTCAATACCCGCATGCATTGTCAAATCGACTACAGCTCATCGTCAAAACATGCCCAACGACGAAACACTGAGGAAAGACGTACTCAAGAAGTCGGCAATGTTAAAACCTGGTGGGCATGGGTGTCCGATAGCAGCCAGGTACTCCCCGCATTTGTCCGCATCGCCAGAGTAGATCAGCTTGCCTTGCGCGAGAACAAGCAACTGATCGAAGAGGGAGACGATGTTACTGCGCGGTTGATGGATCGTGAACAGCACGGTGCGGTTGTAGTCCTTCGCGAGTGTGACCAAGCTGGAGATGACGCTCAGTGCATTGAAGGCATCCAGACCTGGAAATACATGAGTATAACCCGCCTCCGAAGTGTAAATGACCTACCGCTCGTCGGCTCGTCCAGGAATAGAATCGAAGGGCTGGTGACGAGTTCGCAAGCTATTGAAACGCGGCGCTTCTCACCTCCGGAGATGGATCTGCGGCCTATTATGCGCCAATTTAGCCTCGTGTCCGCGCCACTGGTCAGGACCCAGCTCACCAGAGTCGCCAATGCGTGCATCCTTTATGCCGAGGATTCCCAATTCATGCATCGTTTCCAGCGTCCTGAACTTCTTCGCCTCTAGACTCATCTCGCGCGGCAGCCTCAGCAGCGCAGAGTACAGCACGGTCTCATACACAGTCAGCGTGCTCATCAGCGTGTCCTCCTGGTCCACGAAGCCCATCATCTTCTTGAAATCCTCGTCTGCAACTTCCCGTCCGTTGACGAGCGTTCGCCCATTCACGACGCCACGCTTGTTCTTCCGTGCAAGAATGTCGAGGAACGTCGACTTGCCCGCACCCGAGGCGCCCATGATTGCCATGAGCTGACCAGGCTTGACCGAGCCAGAGACGGAGTCGAGGATTGTGCGGTTTCCGAGCGAGTAGGAGATGTCAGAGAAGTGCAAGGACGTGGCAACATGCTCGGACATGAGCCTCGCGGTCTCGCTCTCGGGCAACCGAATGCGACCAAAGTCACCTGAACGTGTCCTCCCTGCGTACCAGAAGACTGTAAAATGGTGTGAGCTAACATACTTGGATTTTCATAGAGGCTACTCACTTGCTGTTGCAATGATAACAAACAAGCCTGCTCCTGCTGCGCTCAACGCGATGAAGCGACTGCTATCCGGTTTGAGCGGGGGCTTCAAGTGAATCATTAGAATCGGCGAATGTCTATCGACCAATGATGCTCCCTTACCACGTAGCCGGGCACCTGGGAATAGTGCAAGCACTCTCCGCCGTCACACTGCAATGTGATGTAACGATCACCGAACATAGTATCAATCAGTTCGTTCATGGCAGGCTCCTCGAATTTGCAGTCTTGGCCCGTCTTGCAGCTGAAAGAAACAGGGCCCCTGATTTCGTCCTTCAAGAAGTCCGAGATGTCTTCAATGACACGAGCTCAGTGGGCGTACATTCCGGAAGAAGAGATGACATAGCACTCACCGACACTGCCGTTCTCACCGCATATGAATCGACCAGGGACACACTTGCACTTCATGTTTTCACACGCGTAGCGAGTGGTGTTGCTGTCATAGTCCGCCTCCATCCCAAACGAGCACGTGTCCAGTGCGCAGTAGAACGATTCCTCCTGCGCAGTCCAGAACTGGAACTGACAAGTAGCTGCCGGCTTGTCGCAACTGAACGTCACCTCGGGAGGACGATCCGGAAGCATATCGATGATCTTGCGGTCTGTTGGAGGCGCATAAGCGATACGGAGGAGTCCCCGACGCGAGACACGCACTCGTCACTGCGCATATTTGGTGGTTCTCGAAGACAGTTACACCGCCCTTGTAGCATGTCATATTGTTGACCTCCTCTCCGTCCTCCACTGGCTTCCCAGCGAGAGGAAACCCGACACACGCGCTATCCGTCTTGCACACTAGGAGCTATGAGCGCGAGGCGGAACCCAAGGAGGATTTCAAACGTACCGTTACAGTTCGCACCACCCCAACCATCCTTGCAGTCGCATTTTTGACCCGGTTCTCGTTGTCTTCTCCATTCTCCGTCCGCCAGAGAGTCGCATTCTGCCTGAACGGTGAACTCCGGCAATGTTCCATGGAACGACGGGACGTACGTGGTGTCAAGCAGTCAATCCCTGCCCATCCTGGCGGACATTTGCACTGTCCATCATATGTTGAACACTCTCCGAACTGTCCACAATCGAATGCGTCCAATTGACAATTGAAGCACGGTGGGCACTTCTCTGCTAGGAGCTCAGTAGAACGTCCCGAGACACAGCGAGTAGTACATACCTGGCCTCGTATTAGCCACAGCCAATGGCTGGTGTATATCCTGAATGTCAGGACTGATGTTAATTCCACGATATTTAATCACGCACCGACAAGTCGTATTGATATGGAGAGAAGCTACCACGCAATGTCGATCGGTTCTGAGCTGCGTATGCAGGTGAGGTTAGTGAGACCAGCGCAAGCAGAACGGACAGTGCCATCCCGCCACGAGCAAGTGAGACCGTCATAGAGGATGTCGTTCACACCCCTTGGGTGTCGGCGACGCTGCTGTGGAACACGAAGTCGAGGTTGGCGGAGCACCTGGCAAGCACGGTCGTCGCTGCGGTTAAGCCAACCGTGACGCCACCGTAGAAGCTTGACTCCGCTCGTAGGCAAATAGTGACGTAGCCCATTCTGTTTTCATTCTCCGAAAACGGTACGTAACTGTACCCTAAGTTGTATTGTTACTCCGCTGAGACATGGTCGCTCTATTGAATAGAGTCGACGGACCAGCGACGGACTTTGCTAAACTTGGGCTGCTTTGCGGTAGCTCTGACCCCGCACCGCGTCGCGAGCGCGTATGTACCGCTATATTACCTTGCGACTAGCAAGGTCTCTTCGGGGGTCTGAATTCGTCGTGGGAAATTTCCGGTTTTTTTGGCCTTGTTTGTTCCACCTCCAAATCCGGACAGACAGCGCTTAGCCATGCTACCGCCCTCAGGCTGAGGCTCCCCATACCGAACTGTCGACGAAAAAAGGTGTACATGAGCTCTTTACTGCCCTATGAAGACGTAGACCATCGCGTAGACCATCGCGGGAGCCATTGGTCTAGTACCAGAGGAATAAGGTCTGCGTGAGCAGTGAGTAACCTTACATGAGTGTGACTCTCGCGATGGCCTAATATTAGCAACATAATACACTATTTTCATGCACAACGAACGCTGAACGCTACGCGAACAGATGTCCGCAACCACTGCAACACCGCCGCAGGCCCCTATCCCAGTAGAGCAAGAGACACGACCATGGCCCTACGACACGGCGCGCTCAACTGTCGGACCTCATGCACGCCGCTTCTCGCCGCCATCCTCGCCACAGGCACGCTCACCACGGTTGCCAGCGGGCCCGGCTCGAACCTCCGCGGCGTCGAGGAGCACATCCGCGGCGTCGAGAGGTGGCTGGACGCGGAGGACCGCACGCTCAAGAGCCTCGTGTTCTGGGTGTACCCTGAAGGCCTATCGGGGCCATACCACGAGATGGAGGATGGACAGGTGAAGGAGCACAGGCTGTTGGTGACTATTGAGCGGGGGTGAAGGTGGCGGATATGCTGAAGGCAGTGAAGGGCGCGTTTGTGGAGGAGGGCACGGTGCATGTGCACGTCCCTGCTGTTTGAAGAGTTGATGGTACACCGAATCAATACTCTGGGAACCCGATTTTCGAGTGCTGACATGTGCCTCGCTATTCTACAGATATTCAGTATCTTCAGTGCAATGACACCTCACCTAGCAGCTCTCTCTTCATCCTGACAGTGACGGCGAATGGACCTGCACTCATGGTTCGAGCGGAGGGCATGTAGATTGTGCTTGACAATGGAATAGAAGGTGAGCTCGTTAGTGTATGCGTATCCGAGGCCCATCTCAGTCCGTCTTTCATGTCACTTTCGCTGCCATCCTCCATCAATCCGGCGATGTACACAAGACACGAACTTGAGTGTATGCTCCGGTGCAGGCTGCCGTATTCCCTCTTCTCCCTCTCGATGCATTCCTCCACCTTTTGATGATTGACTACTCTCACTTCTCGCGCACCTGATGTTCTCCATACATAATTTGTCATAGCTACTACTCTACTCTATGTGTTGTACACCACGAACATTTGCCCATGCATTTTTTGTCTTGCCTCCTCCTCTCCAACTGTTCGTCCTCCTGTAGTAGGTTACGGTACTCGTCATGAGCGCCTTGGAATACAGCGAGCACGGGAAGACATTCCTTAGTCGCAAGGTACACGACCGGCGCCGGCGCCGGCGCCTATCAGTGACCTTCGGGAAATCTTGCTGTGCACTTCCCTCTGCTGTTGTCTCGTCATCGGTATGTCACTGGGCATCTACTAGCTGGAACCCCATTACCGGTGAGGTCAGGTCGCACATCAAGTTGAGGTCAATTTTGGGCCGAGAATAGTACCAGACAGATACTCCCAATACGTACAATCGTAACAATGCACCTGCGAGTGGGGTGTGAAATCAGGCTGCTACTGTTTTCGAGCGGACTGCAACTTACATTCGCTGCATGCAACCTTGGTTTCCTGTCATTGACTCGACACACCTGGAATTATTGTTGGCGATGTACCACCAATGTACGAGCCTCAAGAACCGTTTCACGCTGCGGTCTCTGTACAGACGGTCTTCTGGAGTCTCGCTGGAGTCTCACGACGACGACGTCGGTCGCGAAACAACGCCAAGGCGCCTATCCTATGCAGGATCGCTGGTCACCACCATGAACCTGGAACCACTCATGCTTAGCGTTGTCGACCGTCGCAGTCAACAGAGGAAGCAGCACAACGTACCCCTCAACTGGCAGAAAGCATTGCATTAATTACGACGCTCTGGTGATACGCGCGGCACCCAATCGCTCAAGCTTCTCTAAGTGAGTAGAAACAATCGCTTGTGGCGCCTGCAGTGGTTTATCTGCCTGAAGCTGCTTCGACTCGTCGCGTTTACCGGGCTACAGAACACGAAAAAGCATCATTACTCTGTTCCAACGCTGTTCCGGTGGCACCGGACTTGTACTTCCGTGGGCAGCGCTGGGGGCCTTTGTTACGCGCGCCGTCCTTGGTAGGTCCCGGTCAATTCCCATGCATATGCGGCCGCGGAGCGCCGCTCTTAAGGCATGTCCTCGACTATCATATTTCTTGACATCGGCAAAGGTGAGTGAGATGAGGTGTTCACGCTGACCCCTCGGCAGCCGGTACGAGCACGTACATGGTCGTTGGAGAGTGGCACGAAAAGGCTGTAAAGGAGACCAGCGTGTGCACCGGGCCCAGCCATTTCAGATACAGTCTTGCCACCATTCCACGATGCGATGCATATGATAGCATGTCCACAATGGAGCCTGTGAATGGTTTATATCTGGATGCGAATGCAGACGTTGGTTGGACATTCTTTGGGAAAAGGTCCGCACGGCGTCGACTGCTCATTGGCTACCGACTGACCACGGTTGCATTCAACAAGAAATGCCAGACGAGTGACCAGTGGCGCACGCTGACGAAGCCGACAAACAGTGAGCACGTTTCGGAAGGGCGAGTAGGGGAAGTGCAGAAGGTTTGTGCGCACCGACGCCTCATAGGTAGTCTGCTATGCCTGACCTCTTCGTAGCTACAGGACACTGCGTCGTACGACGACTGCGGAAACTCCCCATGAAATGGCCTGCCGGGAGCCTAGGTAAAGAGGAGGCTGGGCGAGGCGAGCTGGAGACGGTGGCTTTGACGCCTGCGGATGCACCGACATCGGCCGGCGCCTGAGTAAGCGCCTCTCACGTGCGTGAGTGGAGGAGAAAGTGGTCTGACATTTCCTGCCAATCGCCGCATAAAAGACTTGGACGGGTCGCCGCCGTTTCTACGTCGCCGTCCTCGTCGTCCCTGTCGCCGTCCCCGCCATATACCACCCAAAAGCGACGCGCAGCCATGGATCTCGTGCTCAGCATCTGTGACGACTATGCCCTCGACAAGTTCTGGGCAGCCGTGCTACCTGCATCCGCCTTTGCCTCATCACCCAGTGCGGCGTTCCTCCAGGCATCGCTGAACGGCTCATCACTGCCTGTCATTACCTCGCAACCGGGCAAGTGGTCCCAGCTTCTATCCTACATTCCCCATCCACCACTACCCTCCGCTCACGAGCTCGCACCGATCGCGCCTTCTCTCGCGTCTGCATGGCCACGCGACTACATCCTCCGCCAGTTCACCTCCCTCTTCGTGCTCACCCTGCTCGGAATCCACTTCCTCTACTTCAGTTTCGCGTGGCTGTCGTACAGGTACATCTTCAATCATGAGATGATGAAGCACCCGCGCTTCCTGAAGAACCAGGTCAAGCTCGAGATTCAGCACAGCCTGAAGGCGTTCCCTGGCATGACGCTCCTCACTCTTCCGTGGTTCATAGCGGAGGTCAGGGGCCACTCGAAGTTGTATGACAACGTGGATGAATACGGCTGGGGCTACCTCGCGTTCTCCACCCTGTGGTACGTCCTCGCAGAACCCCTATTCCTGCGCGGCGCTGACGGTCTCGCAGGTTCCTCGTCTTCACCGACTTCGGCATCTACTGGATCCACCGGTGGGAGCACCACCGCCTGTGGTACAAATGGCTGCACAAGCCGCACCACAAGTGGATCGTGCCGACGCCCTTCGCCTCGCACGCATTCCACCCGCTCGACGGCTACCTCCAGTCCATCCCGTACCACGCCTTCATCTACCTCTTCCCGCTCCACCGCCTCCTCTACCTCAGCCTCTTCGTCTTCGTCAACATGTGGTCCATCCTCATCCACGACTCCGACATGATCACCGGGCACCCGCTCGAGACCATCATCAACGGGCCCGCCCACCATACGCTCCACCACCTCTACTTCACCGTCAACTACGGTCAGTACTTCACGTGGGCGGACCGCATGGGCGACTCGTACAGGCAGCCCGTGAGCGAGCTCGACCCGATGAAGGAGGTGCAGGCGCACTTGGCCAAGCAGGAGAAGCAGGCCCTGGGCAAGCAGCAGTGAGCTGAGAGCGAGAGTTGTGTGCTTGTTGTGTGTTTGCTGTATCTATTGCTACTTAGTTGACGTGCCTACTACTGGTTGGCGGGAGGGATAGGGATTTAGATTCGATGTAATGGTCAAGAAGACAAGTTAATGACAGTGCTGTGCCGAGACCGCACCATGACCAAATGACGCCCCTTTTACTTTACTCCGCATGCACGTTTATATACGCTGTTATACCACTGCTCCGGCCTACGATACGTCTCATACAGACAACAGACAGTACATCCGGAGAAGCAAGAAAGATGCAATTGCAGACGTCAAATACTACATACGAGAACACGATGGATGACGCTAATGTGCGTATCACTGATTGCCTTCCTCCGCCCATCACCGACGCCCCTATCGTTCTACCGCTTCGTGGGCTTTCTCTTCACCTCGTCGTCTTTACATGCGTGCAGCATGATCTTGTTCGGATGTCCCTGCGTCATACCGGAGTGTCCCTTCGACCAGTCGTACGAAACCGCATAGGCGAATATAGAGCCCGTCCGGTTAAAGCCAGTCGCAGGCACCGGGCCCGGAGCAGGGTCGAAGGCTAAGGGGGGTCATATTAGATCGTATTCAGAGAACAAAAGTTAAAGCCTACTCTTGAGACGAGTTCGCGCATCCTTGTCCCAGAAGTTGATTGTGCCGTCAGATCCTGCAAGGGTGATGAGTATGCCAGCTCCGAAGGGATATTGAAAATGCTCGGGACGCACCGCATGTAGAGAACGTTCCGTGGACAGGATGGAAGGTGATGTCGTTCACAGCATAGACAAGCGACTGGTCCTTGTTTGCTGGGTTTGCGTCCTTGCGATGACATTTGAACGAGAAGTTGTTCCTGATAAGGACGCCAGAGTAAGCAAGGGAACGCGACCGAGGTTTGATAGCCGACATACGAGGCGTCTTTGTCTTCGACATATCTACCCGCGCGGAATGGGTGAGCTTAGAGGTGTATAAGCTGCATGGAAAGGTATACGCACTGGATCGCCACACGGCCCTCTACACTACCAACAGCAAATCCGTTGGCCGCCGGGAAGCATGATACCACCCTGGTTTGCCACTTCAGTGGCGAGAGCATAGTCTATGACCAGAGCGTCAGCGCTACCCGAGCGGAACAGTTACACACACAACCGAACCTTAAACGGTGTTGTCGGGTTCGTGAGGTTGAAGATTTGGATGTGGCGCTCCGCCGTGCCGACGACCATGAGGGGGTAAGAGACATCAAGCGTGTAGCATCTCTCAGCTAGCTGCACTGTGGTGACAGGGTTCTGGGTCCGAAGGTCCCAGTACTGCATATGCTCGGCATGAGACGCAGGAACTTAAACGGGACTCAGTACTCACCTTCACCGTCTTATCCCAACTGCCAGTGACGAGGACGCCACCTTGTGGCGACTCGATCCAGCGTACACACTTGACGGGCGCGTCGTGTTGCGCCACTTGGGATGACTGGCCCGTCGTAACGTCGAACATGCGCCCTGCATTGTCTGCGCCCCCCGAGAGAATTTTGGTGCCATCCTAGGATGCCGAGCTCACGTCACGATGGTGCACAAAGGGTGCCACAACAGCAACAGCGCACCTTGTTCCAGCAGACACTCAGCACGGGCCCTTGATGCGTGTACATAGCTTTACCCTGCGTTTGTCCACTCGGACCGACTTCGTATATCCGAACCTAGCATCACGAGCGCGGTACGCGTTCAGCGCGCGCAGACATCAATGCCAGTGGCGAGACAACTAACCTCATTGTTCCAGCTTCCAACCGCGAGGTAATCAGCCTGGCTGGAGAAAGAAAGGCAAGAGATCGAGTCCGTGGGCGGGTCGGCGACTTCGATGTCCTTCTCGCCACCCGTCGCGGCGGCGGCGGTCGACGAGCTAGGCGCGCCAAAGAAAGACATGATTTGCGGTTCTCGCTGCGAGAGACGGGAGAGGGAGTAGAGGAGAAGGTGGATGAGGACCAAGCAGTGTGCGCCTTGTTCATAAGACGTTCGAATCTTGTGCCACCGACCCCGATGCGCTTCCTGTTTCGGCAAGTGCGATCATTGCTGCTTCGGCCAAGCGCCCTCGGTGGCTGCTCGATATGCAATAATGAGCTCCTGAGAGTCGAAGTACCGCTCACTTCAAAATCGTAATGTCATTCATGAGGTCTTCAGTTCAGGAGAGGAAGCCAGCTAAAGCAGGCTTTATTCACATTGTGAGGATAGTAGAGTAAGAATGATCTACAGACTATAATAGGACTTATTATTAACTTACAGACAGTCCGAAGGCTGGCGGCTAGTGTTCGGTCCTGTAGACTATCCTCCAGGTCCGCGCCGACTGCGATGAAAACTAGGAAGGTACGACTCCGCACACTCGTCGCCACTCGAATCATTGTCCGATAACTCGGTCAAATCACCTCGTTCGTCCCAGTCGTAGTCATCGTATGCATGCGTTAAACGCGGCTTGGGAGTCGGGCTGAGGATGGGCGAAAGGGGGATAACGTACTCCTATGACGGTGCACAGACGAAGGAATAGGAGTCAGTGGCGACGAAGGCGGAGTGGGCGTAGGAGTAGCCAGTGCAGGCTTCTTGGGCTTCGGGACGGGGGTTGTGATGAGCACGATGGGTCGGGGCGGAATCCGTATCTTCAACCCGCTCGTAGGCTTCGACGACTGCCGCTTCTCTTCCATGGGGACGGGTAAAACGCCCCCACCAACACTCTTCGGTTTCTTCGCCTTGCCAGCAGGCTTCTTCATCGACACCGGTGTAGGCGGCGTCACTTTCTGTTTCTTCGCAGACCCCTCACCCGCCGATGACGACGCCTTGCGCTTCTTCCCG